GCACCGCCTCTCCGCCCTTCCTACCCTCTTCCGTGGACCTCTCGTCTACGCTTGGCTCCAGAGAATCCGTTCTGCTAGTCTTCTGGCGGTTTTCTGGGTTATTTAGGCAGATGTAGGTGGAATGTAAGTGATCAGCAGGACGCGGTGAGCTCAGCGTCCTCCTACGCCGCCATCTTCCCACCTGTATCTACCTTATTCTCCTGTTTCGAATCGTCCTCAAATTCCTCCGATAAACTCTAGTGACTGCATTTTTCTCGTTAATATTATTGTACCTGATTTGATCATATTTCATTGAGGATTTAAACAATCAAATCTTAGAAGTGATATTCATGCATCATTTTCTTATGTGCTCTCTTGATCAGGTTTGGAGAATGTATTTTTGTAATTAGCCGTGTTGATTTAAAGGAGCAGGCGGGAGAGAGGAGTAGACATGCTGAAGGAGCTCCAGTTCTTCCTGTCGGCCATCCTGCTGCTTGCCTGTGTCTTCTTCTACCAGCTCAGCCTGAAGTCCAGCTGTCTCTTCTCTTGCCTTCCTCCCCAAAAGGCCCAGCAAGACCCGGAAGCCCTCCTGGGCCATGGGCATGGCATTGTGTTCATAGAGACCTCAGAGAGAATGGAGCCAACGCCTCTGGTCTCTTGTGCTGTGGAATCTGCTGCCAAGACTTACCCAGAGAAGCCCGTGGTGTTCTTCATGAAGGGTCTCAACACCACCACACGGCTGCCCTCAAACTCCACTTACCCAGCCTTTTCCCTCCTCTCAGCCATAGACAATGTTTTCCTCTTCCCTTTGGATATGAAAAGGCTGTTTGAAGACACACCATTGCGTTCATGGTACACTCACGTAAGTGTTCAGAGAATCTTAGAATGTCAGTGTTGGGAGGTACCACAAAAAATGAGTCCAATCTCCTCATATTTTGAATAGGTAAACTGAGCATAAGGACTCAGTGTCAGAGATGGGACCAGAACCCAGACCCTGGTCTTCTTTGTACAGGGTTGAGTCCTGATTCAAACAAACAGGAGAGACTTCAGTTAGGTTTATCTCTAGCCTGGTGTCTTTTGCTTCCAGCCTTATTTCTTAGGAACTATGCTTCTCTTGAGACCATTCTTTTTTTTTTTTTTTTTTTTTTTTTTTTTTTTTTAATTTTTTTTTTTTTCAACGTTTATTTATTTTTGGGACAGAGAGAGACAGAGCATGAACGGGGGAGGGGCAGAGAGAGAGGGAGACACAGAATCGGAAACAGGCTCCAGGCTCTGAGCCATCAGCCCAGAGCCCGACGCGGGGCTCGAACTCACGGACCGCGAGATCGTGACCTGGCTGAAGTCGGACGCTTAACCGACTGCGCCACCCAGGCGCCCCGAGACCATTCTTAATGAATGAGTTTCGGTAACTTTTATGGGGGTATAATCACTTATTTTTCACTTATTTAAACCCATCTGTGTTAAACTGTTTTTTTGCATTTGAATGGGAAATGAGGCAATATTTAACTTGAAGATGATGTAAATAGTGAACTCATGAAAAATCAGATGGGGTGCTGCTATATGAGATTGGGTTATATTGAGATACAACCAAGACATGCCAGGAGCTCTTGGGAATTTTGTAATCTTCATCTTAGCAACATAGTATAATAAGGAAATAACATTTCAATTAAATATTTCTCTCACAGAGGGCCCACAATCAGATAACGCTTAAGTAAATTATAGTACAACCACTCAATGATTCCACTATGCAGGCTTTAGCCATGACATCTTATGAAGACTACAACACAATATGGAATAAATACACTTGTATTAGAATGTAATTGTAATTATTTTACCTATGTACCACCCTTCCCCCCAACCACATGGAAGAAAAAATCCTGAAGAAAATACACAACACACAGTGATAATAGGTGTGTTAGTGTGGTTGGATTGGGAGTGCATTTAGTGATGAGAATAAGTTAATTTTATAAATAAAATTATTATTATTATTATTTTTTAATATATGAAATTTACTGTCAAATTGGTTTCCATACAACACCCAATGCTCATCCCAACAGGTGCCCTTCTCAATGCCCATCACCCACCCTCCCCTCCCTCCCACCCCCCCATCAGCCCTCAGTTTGTTCTCAGTTTTTAAGAGTCTCTTATGCTTTGGCTCTCTCCCGCTCTAACCTCTCTCTTTTTTTTTTTCTTCTCCTCCCCCATGGGTTCCTGTTAAGTTTCTCAGGATCCATGTAAGAGTGAACACATATGGTATCTGTCTTTCTCTGTATGGCTTTAATTATTTTAAAAACAAAAAAATAATTTAAAAATTGGCATCAAAATTATACCATTTGCTTATCCTGTAAAGTCCTTTCTAAGTTCTAATCATAGGCTAGACCAAATGTCAGATGGTAAATACTTTGTAAAGGGGCCAGACAGTGAATACTTAAGGCTTTGCAGGCCAAGAGGCAATATTGAGGCCATTATGGCGGTACTTGTGTTAGTTTCCTATGGCTGCTGTATCAAATGACCACAAACTTGGTGACCTAAACCAACAGAGATTTGTTCTTTTTTGGTGATGGAGGCCAAAAGTGCCAAATCCATTTCACCGAATGGAAATCAGGTGCTGGCAGGGCCCCAGTTCCCAAGGAAGCTCTTAGGAAAAACCCTTCCAGTGGAGATCTGCACATGTCCTTTTCCTCTGTGTGTGTGAACTTTCCCTCTACATCTTTTTTTCTTTCTTTCTTTCTTTCTTTCTTTCTTTCTTTCTTTCTTTCTTTCACCACTTTAGTGACGAATGACTGACATATGAAAAGCTGGACAACTTGGTGAGTTTAAGATGCGGCTGTTTTTTTGTTTTGTTTTGTTTTCTTAATTTTTTTTTTTTTTTACATCTGTCTTTAAAGGATACTTGTGATAGCATTTAGGGCCCAAATCAGGACAACCCAGGATAATCTCCCCATCTCAAGATCCTTCATGTGATCACATCTGCAAAGACCCTTTTCTCAAATGCGGTAACATTTACAGGTTCTGGGATGTAGGACCTGGGGTCTTTGAGTGGCCATTATTCAGTCCACTACAGTATTTATATATAAAAAATGAAAACTCCTATCATGCCCTGCCTCATTCACCTGGGGACTGAGTGTGTGCTTTCCTGGGTGGAGGACACATTTGAGCCTACTTACTGTCATCTGGAGACATTTACTGGACTAAGCAACTGGTATGTGGGGGAAGTGGCCAGTTTTACTTTTGACTCTATGTGACTTCCATAACCAGGGTGCCCATCTCTTGTCCTGAAGAGCCTACAAGTCTCAAATTCAGACTCCTCAGGAGGCGATGAAGCAGCTCATCAGATTGAGATTTTACCGGCAGCTGCCAGCACAGGGGTCCCAACAAATAGTTGGTGACAAGCGCAGGCCCCTCGGAAGGAGCAGGACAGGCCACAGGCTGGGAAGGCAGGCCCTGGCAGCAGAGAGAGTCCCTGGAGGGGACATGCTGGCTAGGTCCCTGTCGCTCTCAGGGCTAGCCTGCTAGACGTTGTTCCAGGAGATCTAAACAAGAACAGCAGTCTGTTGGCCTACTTTCCCCACAGCTGGGCTAGACTAACGTTACCTAAACTGTGTTACGCTCCTTACACAAATAAATTTCTGCCCAAATTGTTTTGGAAGGTGAGATGTTGCATTCCACACCGTAAAAAAAATTTTCCCTCGTGGACTAATCATGTACATGAAGAGATTAAAGCCTCTGTACTTCTGAACTAAAGAAACAGTAATTTGATTCAACCAGAATCTTCCAAACTTATTTGAGCATGAACACCTCTTTCAGTAGGACATAAATGTTTTCTTAGAGCTGATGTCTCATAGAGCACAGCCTGGGTCTTCTGAGCTGTACCTCAATTTTACAAGGTTGAATTTTAGGAACAAGGTGGGCCCTGGGACACAGAACCCTTAAGTGTCTGCCCCATCTGAGCCCGCAGGGTACTGCACTAAGCTATGCATCTGCAGTGATCACACCATGATAATTTTGGGGTGCTGGTCTGTGGCATGTTCTGCTCCATTGGGGATGACCTAATGTGCCATCACTTGCTGGTTTGCTGCACTGATTTGGCAACTGTAGCCTTTAAAGATGTCTGGGGTTGCGTACTGTGGGGTAGGAAGGGGATGAGCAGTCAGAATCCTAATCCCCTTCCTGGAGCTCACCCCTGTGGGAGCTTTTGTGTTTTAGGTAGATTTAGTCCAATGCCCACAAAAAGGCAGGCTTCTTCCTCCTGTGATTTCGTGTGGCTTTTGATATCCTATGTATCTGTTCACTAACACTCACCAATTTACCAAATAATCAATTTTACTTATTTTTACCAAAACCTTATTTTTTTTTGAATGAGTGGATCTCTGGAGCCAGACTGGCTGGGTTCAAATTCAGCCTCTGCCTCTCTCACCTTGGACAAATTACTGAATTTCTTGTTTCTTTTATCTCTTAACTTGAAAAATGGGAATAATCATAATATCGGTCTTTGAGCATTTGTGTAGATTATAAAGAGGTTGGAACAGTTTTTGATAAATTTTGGCTGTTATTATTTATGAGGTTTTCAGCATTTGTATACAATTTTGTGATGTTAACAATTTGTGTAAAGATTCTTGCAAAGTATTAATTGTCTTGCCTTCATTTGGCTTTATAGCAATGATTTTTTTAATTAAAAAATTTTTTTGTTTAATGTTTATTTTTGAGAGAGAGAGAGAGAGGGAGACAGAGTGTGAGTGGGGAAGGGACAGAGAGAGAGAGGGAGACACAGAATCTGAAGTAGGCTCCAGGCTCTGAGCTGTCAGCACAGAGCTGGATGCGGGGCTCAAACTCATGAACTGTAAGATCATGACCTGAGCCAAAGTCAGATGCTTAACCAAATGAGCCACCCAGGCGCCCCTATAGCAGAGTTTTTTTTTAAGTGTTTTTTTTTTTAATGTTTATTTATTTTTGAGAGAGAGAGAGAGAGTATGAGTGGGGTGGGGCAGACACACACACACACACACACACACACACACACACACAGAATCTGAAGCAGGCTCTAGGCTCTGAGCTGTCAGCACAGAGCCTGACTCGGGGCTCAAACTCACCAACTGTGAGATCATGACCTGAGTCGAAGTTGGATGCTTAACCGATGAGCAATCCAGGTGCCTCCCTTTAGCAGAGTTTTAAAGAATGTTCATTAAAAAATTAATAAGTAGATAAATAGATAAATAATAAATAAATAATGTTTATTTTGTCAGGGCACGTGGGTGACTCAGTTAAGCGTCTGACTCCTGTTTTCGGCTCAGGTCATAATCTCCTGGTTCATGCCCACGTTGGGCTCTGTCCTGACAGTGTAGTGCGAAGCCTGCTTGAGATTCTCTCTCTTTCCCCTCTCTATGCCCCTTACCCAGGCACACTCTCCTCTTTCTAAATAAATAAATAAACTTAAAAAAAATACCAAATGTTTATATTTCAATCTTTCTTTACTTTTAATTCATTTATTGGGGTGCCTGGGTGGCTTAGTCAGTTGGCTCACAGCCTGACTTCAGCTTAGGTCATGATCTGATGGTTCATTGGTTTGAGCCCCACATGGTCTCACTGCTGTCAGCGTGGAGCCCACTTTAGATCCTCTGTCCCCCCAGCCCTTCCCCTTGCTAGTGTTTCTCTTTCTCTCAAAATTCATTAAAAAAAAATATTTATTTATTTATTTATTTATTTATTTATTTATTTATTTAAGTAGGCTCCATGCCCTGTGTGGAGCCCAGCATGGGGCTTGAACTCACAACCCTGAGATGAAGACTTGAGCTGAGATCAAGTGTTAGGGTCATCCAGTTGTCTCTATTTCAATCTTTTAATCAATATGTTTCAATCCAGAAAAATCTATTTTGTTTTCTCTATTCAAACTTTCAGCATTCCATTTGAGAAGGTTGCTGTCTATAGTGATTAGTTTTTATTGCCATTTATAAAGATTGTTTTTTATTCTTTTTAGAGTCACTTTCTGCTTTGCTCCCTTTTTTAGCATTTGCAGTCATCCTCGACTCCTCTCTCCCCCTCCACATCCAATCCATCCACACCCTGACCCTCTTCATCTTTACCGTGTGCCTAGGATCTGAACATTTCATCTGCCTTCCTAACTTGCCTCTGTGTTTCTGCCCTTGCTGCCTCCCAAGCCCTGCCCCTGTCTGTTTGCCACAGAGGACCCTTTCAAGACTGAGTCAGGTCACATCACTCCTTTCTTCTAAACCTTCAAGTAATTTCAGTCTTCAGATAACTCCAGTCTACGTGATCCATCCTCCCTCTCCACCCACCCCTCTCTGCTCTCATCTCCTACCCCTCCTTCACTGCCCTGCTTTGGCCACACTACTCTGTTCTCTGTTTCTGCACACAGTGATTGTATTCCTACCTCAGGGCCCTTGAGCTCGCTGAAACCCAAGGTAAGATAGTGTTCCACCCTGCCCCTTTCATATCCTCCTCACCCAGCTGTTTTTCCTTCATAGTCCTTGTGAACACCTGACATATTATATATTGATTTATTTATCGTCTATCTCCTCCAGGTAGGGATTTTTGTCTGTCTGTTTATTGCTCTCTCCCTAGCAGCTATAACAGAGCTTGGCACATTGAAAGTAGGCCCTCAATGGGGTGCCGGGGTGGCTCAATCGGTTAAGTGTCTGACTTCGGCCCAGGTCATGATCTCACACTTCGTGGGCCTGAGCCCCGCGTTGGGCTCTGTGCTGACAGCTCAGAGCCTGGAGCCTGCTTCCGATTTTGGCTCTCTCTCTCTCTCTCTCTGCCCCTCCCCCACTTGTGCTCTCTCTCTGGCTCTCAAAAATAACTAAATGTTAAAAAAAAATTTTTTTAAAGGAAATTAGGGCCTCAATGAATATCATTAAAGGAAATAATTAGTGAGAGAAGGCATGCATGCATTTTAAGATTCTTTTACCAATTTCTCAAGAAGCGTACATATTGATCTATTCTATAGTTTCCTAGTTTACTTTTTCTTTATTAGTTTTTAGCATTTCTAGGACTCAAAAAAATTCCTGCTTCACAGTTTCATATTTGTGGTTAAACTACACCCTGCTGAAAATGGCTCATATGGTTTATTGTGAAATCCCTTCAGGGTTTCTTCTTTACCATTCTAGTGCTTTAATTAAAAACAAACAAAAACCAAATTCATGAATTCTTTAAAAGCTTGCAAAGTCTGCCCATTGACACTGGTTGCTGTAAACTTTTCACTTACAGGCAAATTTTGGGGTGGAGGTAAGTTTGGTCAATTTGTAAAATTGGGTTTTTGTAAGCAGATTTTCGAGAAGCTGGCTTGCTTCCTTCTCCTCAGCTACCATGGGCTGGCCTCACGTTATGACACCCTTCCTTTTTCTCCTGCTGCTGTGGCTGATTTGCACGTGTTCCTGCAGATCAACGCCAGTGTGGAGAGCAACTGGCTCCACGTCAGCTCAGATGCGTCCCGCCTGGCCATCATCTGGAAATATGGCGGCATCTACATGGACACCGATGTCATCTCCATCCGGCCCATCCCTGAGGAGAACTTTCTGGCTGCACAGTCTTCTCAGTACTCTAGTAATGGGGTGTTTGGATTCCTGCCCCACCACCCCTTCCTGTGGGAGTGCATGGAAAACTTTGTAGAACACTACAATTCAGACATTTGGGGCAACCAGGGTCCCAGTTTGATGACAAGGATGTTGAGACTGTGGTGCAAACTTAGAGACTTCCAGGAGGTGAGTGATTTCAGGTGTTTGAACCTGTCCTTCCTACACCCTCAGAGATTTTACCCCATCTCCTATCCAGAGTGGAGGCGCTACTATGAAGTCTGGGACAAAGACCTGAGCTTCAATGACTCCTATGCCCTGCATCTGTGGAACTACATGAACAACGAAGGAAGGACTGTGGTTAGAGGGAGCAACACGCTGGTGGAAAATCTCTGCCGTAAGCACTGTCCCAGGACTTACAGGGACCTGATTCAAAGCCCAGAGGGGTCAGTGACTGGGGAGGTGGGTCCAGGTAACAAATAGAGCCCACACTGGCTCTATGTTATAGAACCGGTTCCTGGAGTGCCAGCGTGCAGCTCATGTCCACGTTCCCCAGGGGTGGGGGGGTTTACCCACGTATCGCTTAGGCTCAGCTTTCTCTGTCTATAATACAAAAATCCCAAAGATCATTGGTGTATAAAATATAGAAGCTTATTTCTCTCTCATGTAAAAGAAGTCTGAAGGCAGGCGATTTAGGGGAGGTGTGGTCACTGTGGTCGTTGGGGACTCAGGTTTCTTGCATTTTCTTGTTTGTTATCCTTAGCGTCCATAGCCCCTGGTCTATATGGCTGCTTGGTATCCAGCCCATTATGTCTGCATTTCAGGCAGCAGGATGAAGGAAGGAGGAACGTACCCCTCCTTTATTTTATGAAAACTTCCTATAAGTACTGTGTAACACTTGCCTTTACATCTCACTCACTCACTGCAAGAGATGCTGAAAAATTTAAGGAGGAAGAGAAGAAAATGGGTGTTAGGAGAGGCAGCTAACGGTTTCGCTACCTGTTAAATTTACTTCTGTAAGATTAATTTCAGCAGAATGGACTAGGGACAAAGAGTCTTAATTTCTGATCTTGGGACAAAGAGTCTTGATATCCTGACTTTGATATTCATTAGTGAATTCAGTCAATGAATATTAACCAAGCCCCTTCTGTGTGCCAAGCACTGATTTAGTTGCTGAAAATACTGCTGGATCAAGCAGACATGGTTCCGTCTTAGTCAGTTTGGGCTGCAGTAACAAAGTACCACGGACTGGGTGGTTTATAAGCAACAGAAATTTATTTTTCACAGTTCTGGAGGCTGGTAGTCCAAGATTAGGGTGCCAGCACGGTCAGGTTCTAGTAAGGATCCTCTTCTGGTGGCAGAGGGCACTTTTCTTGTAGAATTCTCGTAGAGGGGAAGGGGTCAAGGGAGCTCTCTGGGGTCCTTTTTATAGAGAAACTAATCCCACTCATGAGGGCTTCACCCTCATGACCTAATTACCTCCCAAAGGCCCCACTTTCTAATATCATCACATTGAGGGTTAGGATTTCAACATATGAATGTTTTTTAAACATTTATTCATTTTTGAGAGAGAGAGAGAGAGAGAGAGAGAGAAAGACAGAGAGAGAATGAGTGGGGGAGGGAGACACATAATCTGAAGCAGGCTCCAGGCGAGCTGTCAGCACGGAGCCCAACATGGGGCTCGAACCCATGAACCGTGGGATCATGACCTGAGCTGAAGTTGGATGGTTAGCCAACTGAGCCACCCAGGAACCCCAATATATTTATTTTTGAGAGAGAGAAAGGCAAGGGAGGAGCAGAGAGAGAGGGAGACACAGACTCTGAAGCAGACTCCAGGCTCTGAGCTGTCAGCCCAGAGTATGACCCAGGGCTCGAACCCACGAACTGTGAGATCATGATCTGAGCCAAAGTTGGACGCTTAACCTACTGAGCCACCCAGGCACCCCTTTCTATTTCTTATTGATTTATAACCACCCTTTGTATATTAAGGACACAAACATTTTTATTATTTTAGTGTAATTTTTTTCAGTTTCTCCCAGCTTGCCATGCCTTGGGTTTGTTTCTAGACGCACAGAGGGTCCTGGTTAGACTGATGCTGCATTTTTCATTTTGCAGGAAAGAACAATTTTTTTTCCTGAGAAAGGCGATCTCTTTTGTAAGTGCATCTATCACCTTTAAGGTGATTTTTTTCAGGGAATGTGCTAGAGTATAATTTGTGCCCAAGGAAAAGGTTTGAAGCCCAAGCTTCAGCCAGTTCTTGGCATGTCAGAGTGCAGGCCACTTATTGCAAGGTCCTCAGATTTTTCAAGAGAAATCAGCAAACCAGATTTTTATGTAAAATCTCATTTTGACTATATACCTGTCAATCCATCCATCACCACTGTGAAAACCCAACAACATACTTTTGACCTACGATTACCTCAGTCAGCATTTGCGGCCAGCATCCAGGCATTGGGAGATCTGTCCCATATACCTCAGATGCCCTTCTGGAAGCTAGAGCTGGCTCTGGAGCTGGCTTCTGAGGTGTGATGCCAACAGTTGACAGCAGAGAGCACTCCCATGGTGGGCTGCCTAGGGTCTAAAGTCCACCTTCAGTCAGCAGTCGGTCCCACTGCCTCCTGTCACATCCCTAAGTGTAGGAAGGAGACCAGTTGTGATGGTGTCTGTGCTGAGTCAGAGAGCGGGTGTCTGTCACTGGCCTGAGGAAGGGGTGAGAGGCTATGGGGCCAGATGAGAACCGCAGGTATTCAGGACCCACCCTCTTGGTATTCTTCGGAACCTAAAATAGAGCACATAGGAGGCACTCACTAACTCTTGGCTGTATCGAATGTTGAAATGTGGCCCAGTAGGGGAAGGATGTGAAGGTTCCATGCGTGGGAAGTCTTGGTCAGCCGAAGACAGAGTTTTAGCTTTTGGAATTACTGACAAGGTAGATGAGGCTGTATGTCAAGTTCACTTTCTCACAACAACCCTGCAAATGAGGGTACCCCAGTTACACAAAGGGGAATTGAGGCTGGTGTAAATGACACATACAAACACACACGGGTACCGCCAGAGCTCCTTTCTGCATACTTCAGGGATCCAGTGGGAAGAGAACTGAGAAACAAATTTTCCAAGCCCCCACAGATTTCACATTTGTATGAACTCTAGAGGGCACATCACTGACTGCAAGGCCCTGGGCTAAGCCTAGAGATGGCTTAGCTAATTTGGTTCTCATAATGACCCTGCTAGACAGAGTTTATTTTTCCCATTTTACAGAAGGGTTAAGTGACTTTTCCAGGGTTACATAGTTTGGGAATGTGGAAATGTAAATGCATCATTTAAAATGTTTAATTCCAGTATAGTTAACACACAATGTTATATTAGTTTCAGGTGTACAATATAGTGATCCAAAAATTCCATACATCACCCAGTGCTCATCACAAGTGCGTTCCCTAATCCCCATCACCTATTTCACCCATCCCCCATCCTCTCCTCTCTGGTAACCATCAGTTTGTTCTATATAGTTAACAGTCTGTTTCTTGGTTTGCCTTTCTCTCTCTCTCTCTTTTTTCCTTTGCTCATTTGTTTCTCATTTTTTACAGGGTGTCCTATGCTTATCTTTTTAATGTTTCTTTTTTTTGAGAGAGAGAGAGAGAGAGAGAGCAAGCATGAGCAGGGGGAGGGGCAGAGAGAGGGGGGGACAGAGGATCCAAAGCAGGCTCCATGCTGATAGCAGCGAGCCTGACATGGGGCTCGAACTCACGAACCATGAGATCATTACCTGAGCCGAAGTTAGAAGTATGATGCTTAACCAAGAGACACCCAGGTGCCCCAGTTTGTTTTGTTTCTTAAATTCCACATATGAGTGAAATCATATGGTATTTTTCTTTCTCTGACTTATTTTGCTTGTCATTATTCTCCCTAGCTCCATCCTTGTTGTTGTAAATGGCAAGATTTCATTCTTTTTTAATGGCTGAGTGATATTCCATTGCGTGTGTGTATTTGTGTGTATTTGCGTGTGTCCATCACCTCTTCTTTATCCATTCATCTGTTGATGGCATTTGGGCTGCTTCCATAATTTGGCTATTGTAAATAATGCTGCAATAAACACAGAGGTGCATATATCCCTTTGAATTAGTGTTTTTGTAATTTTTTTTGGGTAAATACCCAGTAGTGTGATTACTGGATCATAGGGTAGTTCTACTTTTAACTTTTTGAAGAAACTCCATACGGTTTTCCAGAGTGGCTGTACCAGTTTGCATTCCCACCAACAGTGCACAAGGGTTCCTTTTTTCTCCATATCCTCACCAACACTTGTTTCTTGTGTGTTTGATTTTAGCCATTTAGACAGGTGTGAAATGGTATCTCTTTGTAGTTTTGCTTTGCATTTCCCTGATGGTAAGTGACATTGAGCATCTTTTGATGTGTCTGTTGGCTATCTGTATGTCTTCTTTGGAGAAATGTCTGTTGATGTTTTCTGCCCATTTTTTAAAAGAATTGTTATGCCACCTGTTGGTTTTTATATTTTTATGATTTTTTAAAAATCTTTAAACGTTTATTTATTTTTGAGAGAGAGAGACAACGCGGGCAAGGGGCAGAGAGAGAGGGAGACAGAGGATCTAAAGTGGGCTGTGCACTGGCAGTGGAGAGCTGGATGCAGGGCTTGAACTCCCGAACCGTGAGATCATGACCTGAGCCAAAGCTGGACACTCAACAGACTGAGCCACCCAGTTTTCCCCTGCCCATTTTTTAATTGGTTGATTTATTTGTCTGTGTGTTGAGTTTTATCAGCTCTTTATATATTGTGGATACTAACTCTTTATTGAATACATCATTTGCAAATATCTTCTATTCGGTAGGTTGCCTTTTAGTTTTGTTGATTGTTTCTCTCACTGTGAAGATTTTTATTTTGACATAGTCCCAATAGTTTATTTTTTCTTTTGTTTCCCTTGCCACAGGAGACATACCTAGAAAATGCTGCTACAGCTGATGTCAGAGAAATTATTGCCTGTGCTTTCTTCTAGGATGTTGTTGTGTCTTTGACCCTAAAGCCTGTGTCTTTGTCTCCCCTCTAGTAGGTGGCAGGAACTCCTGGAGTGGAAAGTGTGCCCTGGCCAAGAGGAAGAGGAGGAACAAGATTCCCCATCAGAGTAGATGGCTTACAGACATCCCTACTGGATCCTGGTCCTGGCCGGCCAGTTCTTTTTTTCCATTTAAAAAATTGTGGTAAAATATATAGATGCCATAAAATCTACCCTTTTAACCATTTTCAAATGTACAATTCAGTGGCATTAAGTACATTCAACCCACCCCACCATCCATCTCTAGAACTTATCCATCATTCCAAATTGAAACTGTACCCGTTGAACAACAACTCCCTGTTCCCTACAACCCCCGCCCCAGCCCCTGGTAACCACTATTCTACTTTCTGGAATAGCTCTATGAATTTGACTCTTCTAGTTATCTTGCATAAGTGGAATTATATAACATTTCTCCTTTTG